ATATATAGTTCATAAGTTTAAAAAAATCATAGATGGTCTTTGTAGTTTCAAAACTCTTAAAAAATGGTCTTCCACCCCCATAAAAAGACTTATATATCATTTTTAATATATTTTTCAATTCCTTTATTTAAATCTATTTTTTTAAAAGGAAAAAGAAAATAAATAACTTGGGTCCACATCTCTCTCTCCGTCTTTCTCTCTCTCTCTCTCTCTCTCTCTCTCTCTCTCTCTCTCTCTCTCTTTTTAATACCCAGAACACAATCCACCACCATCATCTTCTTCAAAACCTAGCCCCACCCCTCTTCTTTTCTCACCCATCGATCCTCTCCCCCAATCCAGTCGAGCACCATGTTCACATATTAGATGGAAGAAAAGGAAACCCATCAAGCAACACAACAAACATCATTGTTGGAAAAATCAACCCAAACATCTCCGTCGAGCTCTACCATCCACGAGACCATAGCGCCGGAAAAAGAATAGATCGATCATCTGGCTGCCACCAACATCTTCAGCCTTAGATACACCGGAAAATACACCGAAAAATCCAAATTTCAAGCTCGTTTTTGTGTTGTGGTTTTTTATCTTAAAGGTTAATCTCCAAATTCTCATTGATTGGTGGTTTTTTATTTTGGGGGTTAGCGAAATCGACAGTGTCGTCATCTAATTCCCGTACTCCACCACTGCAACCACTAGGGACCACCCCCGCTGCAACTAGCAGCGACCACTATCATTGCAATCTTTGATATCTTTTCAAACCTGCAAAAACAACCCATATCTGATGGGTAGAAATCAAAAGTCTAGAATCGATCCTCACAACATGCTTTCAAGCTGGAAATCTACAGACCCTGATTAGTATTCTTGGTTTGGAGTCACGTGAAACTCACATGATAAGGTTTCTGAGCTGAGGATACCAAGAGGTAATTTTTCTCATTCTAGTTCTTGTTTGAGTAATCACCATTTTGACCTTAAAAGGAATTGTTCTGCTAAAAAAAAGGAAAATTTTCGTGGGAAAATGTCAAATGTAGTTGGGAAGCTCTTGGAACTTAAGGCTTTTTCAATTCCGTTTAAGAATCACCGGTGAGTTGCCTAACGAAATATGGGGGTTTAAGAGTCTTGAAGTTATCGACATCAAAGGGAATTTGATTACTAGAGATTTATCAATGATCGATTTCTCCAATTTAAAGAAATTGCAGGTTCTTAATTTAGCGAATGAAAGAAGTTTGGTGGATTGTGGTGTCGGTGGGCATTTAAAAAAAAAAAAAAGAGAGAGAGAGAGAGAGAGAGGGAGAGG